TGCTGCAAAGGAAGAAAAAAGTGACTCACTGGTTTTTCCTTTATGATGAGATTAGATGGTTTCAAGAACAAAAGATGCCATCTAGACTGAGAAATGGCCAAGATGCTAAAGAAAGCAACCTGAACATGCACAGTCTTGATTATCCAGATGAGACTATTTACCTACTGCAATATGCCACAGTTTGTACAAACACAGCCTCATCACACAGAGCTCAGGGCTGCCTACTCAGCATTCAAGCTGCACTGCTCTTCTACTTATCTGACATTTCATATACAAACCGCATTAGGGACGTCATAGGCAACTCCCTTGCCAAAGACGGGCGTAGTTAACCGGGAGTACACATCCTCTGCATTCAGATCTTCGTTTTTACTATTGAACAGTAGAGCAGCAGCATCACTACCCAATAAGTATGTGAACGTCTTGCCAACCATAGTGAAACTGAACACAGGTCCATACTAAGAGAGAGAATAAATTTAAAAAAAATATTTTAAATAAGAACAAAAACCAGTAAATCCCGATCTCTCTGTACAGTCTTTCATAAATTACTTTTTCTCCTAAGAAGTATCAAGACATTTAATAAATATATTTTAAACCACATGTCAATTCGTTCTCAATGTACATAGTAGTGCTATCTAATGTTATAATGAACACATGTGAACATGCACATTTTAAAACCTTTTATTTTCATTTTCTAAGATAAATGATCAGTCACACTAAAAAACTAGCAGAGAGATTGCAGCACATATTGACTCAAGTAAACTGCAAACACTGTCTTGTAAAAATCTGGATTTTGAGTCATGCATAGATAATTAGGGGCAAATAAGATTTTGAAGTTCAAAAGTCATCTCCAGCAGACCTTCATGCACCAGATTTGACTTCCTCTAAGCTAACCGAACTAACATTTAAGCTTATAACTCTAGATAGTTTTAGACAATGTGAAACTGCTTGATAAATCTAATTTAATTGGAATTAAGGCTCTACTGATTTAGTTAATTTCTTCTAGTCTCTCACAGAATAAAAACTCCTGAGGTTTTATACACCAGCTCTTTTAACATCAGAGAGGCCTTAAAATTCATCAAGGCTGCCCACAGAGGTGGTCAGCAACATTCCAACCTGGTTATAGATCGGTAAAGAATGCGATTTCAAGTTACCAATTATGGCAAGAAATAATTTCATGCAAATGGCTTTTTAATTATATTGTGATTCAGCTATGAGTATTACCCAAATGTACAAGCATATTTGTAACATGTGAATCATGAGAGCTCAGAAAACACTACAGCTACAAGATGAGATCTGAAGATCACAGAACCTACTGTACACACTCCATTCCATATTCAAGGTGATAAATGACAATGAACTGATTTAAACAGGCCCCAGAGTGAGAACTTAATAGATATACAAAAATATTTTTGTATATGCTCAGCTAGTCATGTGGGAAAACATACCTTGTCATAAGCATTTTCCAAAAATTCAATGGGACTTTTTCCAAATGCAATTGCATGACCAAGAAAAGGGATGCCTGATGAAATAAAAGGTGGGTAGTTCTGTAGAAGAAAGAGAAAAATAATTACTGAAATTTCTTCAGTGATTATCACAGATCCATGAACTAATAGAATATCCTGAGCTGGAAGGGACCCACAAGGATCGAAGTCCAACTCCTGGTCCTGCACAGGACCGTCCCCAAAGGTGACAGCACGGGCCTGGCAGAGTTGTCCAAATGCTTCTTGAACTCTGCCAGGCTTGGTGCTCTGACCACTTTTCTGGCATGTGCCAGTGCCCAAAAATAATAAAATCACGTCCATTTACATAAAAACTAACCACAGAGGAAGTTTTATATATATTTGTTTAAACTCTTTTGTGAAAAGGTCAACTTTAAAAAAAGAATTTAGTTGTTCAGATAGAACTACATTTAAAAGCACCAAAGGTTAATGAATGCGATTGACATTCTTCATACGCTGCCTCTGAATGTGAAGCACAGAGATGCTGCAACTGAAAAGAAGGCAGTAAGAAAAAGCGAAAGGATGTTTTGTTAAACAGGAGGATTTGTTAAACAGCCCCTCAAAAGCAGCTTCAGGTTAGCACGGTGTTTCATACATCAACGGGCACCTTTTATAAGCTCCATCGATGAAACAGAACTGGGAACGCCCTTGGGTTCCGCAAGCCCCGAGCGCCTCTCTGCCCCCGGCGGTCCCAGCCAGCCCAGTGAGGGCGAAGCTGGTAAGTGCCCCAGCAGCCATCCTGAGCCAGAAGCCGGCCAGCTGCCCCAGCAGCGTCCCCGAGGAGGCTGCAGGAAACGCGGCCGGACCCCTCTCCCCACCGGCCCCAGCGCCCAGGGCTGTGCCGAGGCCGCTCCGGGCCCGCGGGCACCGGCCGGCCGAGCGCTCACCTGCTGCTCGGAGCCGAGGTGCCGCCGGTAGCTCAGCTGGAACAGGTAGCCGAGGCTGAGCGCGAAGGCGGAGGCGGCCAGCACCAGGGAGAGAGGGTTGCCGACGGCCACCCGCTCCAGCAGGGACCCGCCGACCTCCATGAGGTTCAGCATCTTCTCGGCGCTCGCTGCCATCCGCCGTGGCTCCGCGGGGCAGGGCGGCGCGGCTGGGCCGGGCTGGTCCGAGCCCATGTGACGGATGGCGGCGCTGGGCTGATCTCTGCCCATGTGACGATTGCCGCCGCCGCAGCCAACCCGCGGCCGCGCTGCGCGGGGTGACGGCATCGGCCGGGCTGCGGCCCGCGCCATTGGGCGGCCGGGCGGCGGGCGGGGAGCGGGGGCCGGGCCCGGCCGCCTCAGGCTCGGCCCCTCCGGCGGCGGGCCCGCGGCGCTCGGAGCCTGGGTGTGCGGGGTGCTGCGTGTCCTCGAACAGCCCGACAGCACCGGGAAATGAGGCTTCTGACGGTGAAATGTCCCTCAGGCATCACTGCCGGCGCCCCCCTCTGACAGCTCGGCAGGGAACAAGGAGAACGAGGACAGCTTATTTGTATTTAATTCCAGATGCTCAAATGTTTAATGTCACAAAATCCCTGTGTTGTTTTTGAAATGAGTTTCCACTAAGATCTAAGGGTTTAAGATCAAATAGTGCACAAAGCTGCATTTGGAAACACAGAGCTCATCACAGTCGAGCTCAGCTTGTTGTCCACATACAACTTTATAATTCAACAGAAATGTATCTTAATGGATTTCCAGGAAATTCTGGTTTTGGTAGGTCTTTTCAAGGCAGTATATTTGTTCATCCAGTCAGTCCAGGCAGTTTCGAAAGTTTAAATGTGTAAATCTGGCAATACTAGCAGGAAGCCGGGTTGATCATTACAAACATACAATGAGACATTACATACATTACATTACGTACAACGAGACATTACAACAAGATACAGTTGCAAATATATCTGTAATGCTTTTAAATAAATTTTTGCAAAGTTCAGAAACTGAAATTCTCTTAAATTCCCTACTTCATCTGAAATAAACTATTTGTTGTTATCAGTTCTGAGTACTTTTAGTTTTGTCAACTGGAAAAGGTCAACAGACAAAAAGCATAAGCTTGTTTCTGAATGAATATTCTTACAGTTGTTTTAAACGTGTAATATCCTCTGGTAAACCCTGTATCAAGGTCTCACATGTGCTGAGTATTACTAGATGAGTGGAGGTAGCAGACAATGCTTGTGAATGCTGATATATACATGGAATCAATGGTGAGTACCTTCAAATTCTTCATGTCAGCTATGGGATCTAGTTTTCAATTTGTTACCTGCAAGCTCTGAAGTTTCAACACTTTTCAATGCCAAAGGAAATTAATCAGTGCTATAGTGATTGAGAGAGTTCCTTTGTATTTACAAGCCTTGACAATTCTTTTGGGGAACATGAGAGCTATCACTGGTTGTTATTGGCATTCTGCTCTGTCCATTTATGAAGTGAGGACATTTTTGGTGGAACAGCATCAGTCTATTTCTTCCAAGGGAGAAGATTTCCAGGTTAATTACCTATACATGAATGATTTTATTTAATTTTTATGTAATTTAAAATTATATTTAAATTTATACAGAATAATAATTTAGTACATTCTTTTTATAACTTTACCCTATAGTAATAACAAATAAGGTAAAGCAGAGCTTTTGTAAACCATATATGTTGCTTCTGTTGAACCTTTATTTCTTTTTTCAGTCAACAGCCCAGCTTTAAACTGCATCCAGCTGTAAGCTGACAATGGTTGGGAAACCCCCACCTTCCTGAAGCAATTGTTCCCTGCACCAAGCAGCAGCAGCAGGACACAGCCCCAGGACCAAGGCTTCCCTCTTGAACAAGCTGCTCACTGGGGTCAGTTATTCCACTTTGTAAAATTGTTCCTCTTTTTCAGAGTTTTAAGTTCTCTGTTATAGGGCCTGGCTGAGTGTTCTACTCAAATTTTTGCTTTTGGCAGCTGTACAGGTTCTTGCTTTTTAAGAAAGTGCTTGTTAGATGGACTATAAGTGGTGAGCTTGGCAGCTCATGTTTACAAAGGCACAAGTGTCAGCTTTGCCCACCTTGCAGCTCATTTTCATTGGTTCTTTGGTAGTGATATGAGGGTTGTTACTAATGGTCTGTCTCAGTGGTGTTGGATTTTTTATTCCCCTGCTTCCAGATGAAAGGAGAGCACACACCTGCCTTGCCCCAGCAGGGCAGCATAAGCTCCTACATACCCAGGTGCCAGAAACCTCTGGGACTGCAGAATTGGGCTCCTGCTGCTCAATGGCTCCACTGATGTGCAGCATCTGCAAACCTCTGCCTTGCCACGATGAACAGTTTCCAGTTTACCTGATAAATTCCTGAGCAGTTACCAAGGTGCACTACCTTAATTCAGAGTCATGATGGAACTGGTCCTTTCTGATGCTCTTTTTACATACCTTACAAAGATAAACATGTTACAAACTATTGCTCCGTGGTAATTACCTGTGGTAATAATACCTGTTACACCTGCTTGGTGTAACATTTGATGGCACCTTCATGCTGGCTACAAAAATAGAAACACCAAATATGACTTGTTGCAAACAATTTATTAGGTAGTAATAAATAAGAATTTAGCAGAAAGGACTACACAGCAGTAAGGCATATTGATATTATATAGGCAACTGACACACCTTTCTAACATTTTCCTCTAGTTTTCTAAGAAAGTGCTATGTAGAGAAATGTATTTCTGATACCAGTGCCAAGTGATAGCAGAGATGCATGACGAAGGATCTGACTGCTGCATTATTTACCTTAAATAAAGCATAACAATCCATGAATATTTACCATTATTTAGGCCGGTGAAGTTTAAGTAGAAAAGTACAGCTTGCTAAGAAGAATACAAAATACAAATCTCCTGTTCACTTTTTTAACGGCTTACTACTTTAATTTCTTAAACTGCAGTTACTAGTAAGGTATAAGTAAAGGTACTATACAACAGCACAGTTCTTCACATTCATTTTAGCTTTTATTTGAAAACTTAGAGGCAAGTGCTAATTTTTATTTTTTTTTATAAAAGCTTTTTTTTTACAAAATATTGCACACTGTTTTAGCATGCAGTTTACACGGAAGAAATAGTCAAGTGCACTTAAAACCCTGAAATACAACCAGAAATTTCAAAGATTTGTGTTACAAATACTATTTTAATGTACAAGGATATGTTTCAGACTGCATAGGATCCCACCTTACATTTCTTGGGACCCAACTTGTTGAGCCCCAACCCTGACTCTACAAAGAGCAGGCAGAATGCTTACAAACTGTATCTGACTTCCTTGTCATCTTCATTCCTGCATCCTGCACTGCTTTTAGCCTGAAGAAACTGAATTAATCAGTAGGAAAATTATTTAAGAGAAATAACTTAGTACCTCCTGTATGAGTTTTTGTTACTGCATATGTGTTGCAATCCAGGGTAAGATTTATTAAACTTTCTGAAGTCCTCTGAGTAAGGTTCATCTGTAAATCCCTGTCTCCCTCTCCTCCGTACATACAGTTTATATTGCACAGCAAAAGTAAAAATCCATTTTACAAAACAAGCATGCTAAACATTCAATATGGCTTCTGAATGATTTAAAGTATTTCCCTTTTGGCATCCTCATGCAGTACTTTAGAATAAATATGAATACAAAGTACGAGAAAGTTAAGAGTAAAAATAAAGTGGGCTCAAATGTTTGTCAGAAACCAAATAAAAAACAAGATTTTATCAAAAGTAGTTGCTCAACAGTCTAACTGGTCTAACTGGTCTCTTAAGCATATTTATCAATAGTATCTTAAAAATACATGGTGTCTACAAAATACTGCAACATATGCCACCTCTCTGATGTTCCACGCAACAACACAAAAGGTAAATAGGTTAACTGAGACTTGCTTAATGGCACTGGTAGTCCCATATTTCTCTGGGAACAAAAGCTTTACTGGATTCATGCTCATCGAACTCGGTAAACCATTTAGATTTCATCAGCTTTATTGGTTAAGCTCAAGCCCTACAATAGTTAATATATGAAACACAAAAATATTTATAAAAATAATAGATATGTTGTATAGTTTTTTTAAAAAAATAAACCATGCAGCTTCTGTACAAAGTTAAAAAAACTGTACAAATTGACTTTTCTATTGTGTAAAATTCATGTACATGGAAGTCCTGTTACGAGGAGGAACAAGTTGTTTTTTGCTCAGCCATCAGATGCCATCTCGTAACTACTGTTCATTTCCATCACTCGTTTCTTTCAGTTGGCATTAGCTGGCCATTTAATTTCATCAGGAGTTTTACAACGAGTCCTGCCTATGTAAAGGGATGCAATTAAATTCTATCAGCATTTCAGAACTGTGACGATCAAGTACATGACAAAATCAATTCTCAGCTTTATCCAGTCTCAAACTTCATTAGTTTTGATCACAAATTTACTGGCTTCAGCTCTCTGAATCTCATTATATTTGGAATCAATGTAAGAGAATGAGGGATTGGGCACATGCAAGAAACAGTTTCAATTAAACAAAAAGTTAATCGTAATGATTATAGATGCATTTTATGTATTTTGAATTCTGAAGGCTTCACATGCTAAGAAAACAAGCAAACGTTCTGAAATATTAATAAAGCTTCAAAATCATTTTTGTGGGGGCTTGGCTTAGGTTTGTATTATACTGTGCAAGGGTGGTCAATCTCAAGAGAAAAGAGGTTTGTGTATCTAATTTATGAAAAAAAATAATTGAATGTAAAGGATGCAAAACGATAGTGCTTACCTGTTTGGTATGCACAATAAAGCTCATTTTGTTTTCCAGACTGTGGATTTGAAAGCACGTATCTCCATCTCCCAACTGCCACATAAAGCAACCATACTTTAGGCTGAGGAGTAAAGCCTACGATCAAATGGAAGAAATTGTCACTCAGAAAATATGCTCCAACCCTAATAAATATGCTTGCAAACTGAACTTCCCTTCATTCACAAAGACAGGATTCAGGCTTAAACCACTATGTTCCACAACTCCATTGTAGTTCATAAAGTAGTAAAGTGAAAAAATGCAAGACTATAGTGAACTCATAAAGACCTTAAAATCTTGAAAATTTTCAGTCAAGTTTAACTAAACGGTTGGATGTGAAATTACTTCTAATACAAAGATTTTTAAGATAAGAGAATTAAGTCTTATAGTTATCACTGGCAGTTCACTTAAGCTGACCTTTGTTTCCATGTTGAGGAGGTGCAGGCCTTTTACATTTACTCCAACGTACACTTTGATGACTTTATGGCTACTTGAACTTGCTTTGGTGAATATCTGTCCTGTGAAAAAAGCTGCTCCATAAGTAGGAATTTCCCAGCAATTCTGCAAGAACATGCGCTGAAGGTGATGCATCTCTTTACTGACACCTTCACTGGTGCTGAGATTCTAAAAATAAAGAAAACAGTGGCAATCAGCAAGTTCTTCCAAACAGTTGTGATTGTTTGAAGAAAATCCACTGTTAAGTGCAATCCCTACTAAATGCATATTTCCAAAGTGCCTTCCCATCAGCCATCTTCCTACAGCTAAATTAAACCTTAGAGCCATGGAAAGGCTCAAGCACTAGAAGAGACTGAGGCAAAATCCAGATACCTATATGAGCTTTGAAAATCTGAGTATAGACACACAACCTCTGAAGGGCCCCACAGATTTGCCTCTCTCAGAAGTAACTGGAGCTTGGGATCAGCAGCTATGCACCCATCTGATACTAAATGCACAATTCTTAAAACTAAGTACTCTTCCTCCTTTAAAGGGTCCAATCCAGTGAGACATGGTAAGATGAGCAAGTACCTCCTTCCAAAAACATGGATTGTTTTTTCTTTTCTAAGCAAAAGAGAGATGCAGACCTCTTTTCATTAGTGGAGCCTTCATTCAGAATGAGACAGGTTTCTTCCTCTTCAGTAGAGTGCAGCAGTCAGAACAAACTATTGCTAGAGTGCTCCCCAAACCAGAATGATAACAACCACTCTTAACAAAAAGCTGGTTGGGCCATGGACAAGATTAGAAGGCACAAACACAAGGGAGAACACAAATCTTCATCAGTTACGGGGCTATGACTGTGGGTGTAGTAGACAGGATCAGCTTCTCTGGATCCATACCCTGCCTTACAGCTTACACAGCCATTTCTAACATGTAAAATCTTCAAAACAAAAGACTGCAACTGCTTTCCCCTTCCCTCCATGTCCCACACCCCAATATAATCTCCCAAAAGCAGAAGTCAAGAAAGCTATGCTCATTCTTACATATAATTTGATGACAATACAGATGGCTTTGCTACACTATAGTCTTAGACCACCATCGCCCCCTCCTTCATCTCTATGAGAAAGAATAGGAATGATGTGCTAATTTCTGACAAAAAGTGTGGCACCAAAAGAAAATTTATGAAGGAGTAATTCCATTTCAAAATGAGGGGCAAGGTTTGAAACCATTCCCTAAGTGCCTCTGCAGCATTTCCTGGCAGCTACCTTTAGTGATGCACATCAGCTGGTAGAGTTCTCTTTCTGACACACTTCACTTTTTCCACAATTACTTGTGAAGACCACAAATTTAATCTGACCTCATTTGGGACCCACAGCCCTCAGTTAGATGCATTTTTACACAAGCAGCCCAAGTCCAAAATAACTGAAATTTTTGCTCAGTTAACTGCTCTAATCAAAGGAGTTTGTGTGTGTGTGTGCACACATACACATCAGCAGCATTACCAGATCCCTAAGATACAAGTTACGCTGACAAAAAGGACTTTGGGGATCTATTGCTATAAGCAGACATGGAAATTTAAATCACCGTAGATTTTTCCACACCTATGCCTGAATTGGAAGTGTGCCCAATACAGAGCTAACATTGAAGGTAAACAGATAACAAATATATTTACTTCTAACAAAGAGATCTGTAACTGTACAAGAAATATATTCCAACAACCCATCCCAAAAATTCGTAACATAGACATTTTTAGCTTTTTATACCAGTATTTCTGTTCATTAATTGGCAACTAAACAGCCAAAAATGTTTAAGAACAGGATTCAGGATTTTCTACTACCTGCTTATTTATCTTACCTTGTATTCGTGAAGTATCCTGTTTGTCCAATGAGGAGCTTTGCTTTTTAGTTTAGTTATTGGTACGATAGATTTAAGATTTTCTTCACTAAGAGAAAAACAAAGAGGAACAAAGTTTTTCTTCACTAAACAAAGAAAAAAGAACAATGTCTGCCACAGTGTACCTTCAAGTCACATACTGAGCTAGACAGCTCCTACTCATCTTGCCTCATCAGATGAGATGGTTTCCTAAAATACAATGCAATTCTCAGTTCATGAAGATTCATTAATAATGTTTACATTATACATGTGTTACACATCCTGGACATGGCATGGGAAATGCCAGCAGAATGCACGACTCACAGTTAGAGAGCAGTCTGGTGAATTCCAGGTTGGAAGCCAAAATTATATACAAAATGCCATTTACATCAGCATATCACATACTCAGAAAATATGACAGACTGTAGATACTCTTCCTTCCCCTCTTGTAGTCAGCACTACCCAGGACTCAGCCCAGTCATTTTCCACATTTAAGTTATATATTACATGACATAAAAAAGGAGCTACTTACATCAACTGCCTTTTTTAAAAAACACAAAATGCAGGAAACGAAAAAAGCTAAAAGGAAGAATGTAAGCCTTCACTGGTTTGCTTTTATGTACAATTAAGACAGTCTCAAGACTTAGTGATGTAACCCATTTAAACTGTATTTGGCAGTATATATGATCTGCCATGCAAAAACCCTACACAGGACAGTGCATCAGATCTTTAAGGTCAAGGATACTCTCATACAAACAACAGCCTGGATATATTTTTTGAATTACCAGTCTTTTAATGAACATTTATGTAAAATACAAAAAGAAAAACAGATTATTAAACTCCTCATCTATATGGAGAAGAACTATGTGAATATGGATGGAAAGCATGTCCAAATGGCTTTTCATCTAATCCAAACTATCTTTGCAGGTAGTCCTGTCTGTAGAGCTGAACACTTCCATTAAGCAGGATGAACTTGGAACCACAGATATGCCTCAGTGTGGAGAGGAACACCCCCTTGCAGCTGCTGGGAGTCAGTTTCATACAAAACTTGAGCTGCACTGAACTGCACACTCATACAGGAGGGCAGCCCCACTTAAACTCCATTCTCCTTATGCTCCATCCATTGGCTGTGTAACTGCAGGACAATATATGCAAAAACCCACCAGGCCAAGGCAGCTCAGCTGACGCTGTGAGTAAGATATGAGAAGCATAGGAGCATTCCTGAACAGCACAACTGCTGTTCCATGAATGAAGTGAGGTGGAGATGGCAGGGGGTGAAGGTGCACACAGTAGAGAACTAGAATCTTCACGGGCTCAGATACTGCTGTAGAAATGTATGTGGGAAGAACAAGCCAACCCAAAATAGCTCAGCTACTGTTGTGCTGGCATGCAGAGAGAAGGAGACAGAAAAATACCATCTGGCTGAGCCCTACTGGTTCTATGGGTTTGACCAATTTCGTACAGCATTTCTCCTACAAATCACAGAAGAGAAACAATATTGCTGCATGGTCTGTCCAAAGAGGGAAAAGTAAATCGCAGACATTGGTCTAACTGCCATAGTGAGATGTTTCTTCAACATTGCTCAAAGCCTCAGTCCTGTCAGAACCCTCCAAATGAATACTGTTATTTTGGTATTACTGTACCTCAGGACAGCTTTTACATGCTACAGAACCTCCAACCCTCTGTCTAGGACTGCAATAATTAAGATTAATGCATTTTCACACACAGTGTCCACCTTCTATTAATGCTACAAGGGTTACGTGATTACTCTGAACTATAGCTCAGTGATGAAGAAAACCAACAAATATATCATACCTAAAGTGTGAAGGTTCCATAGTAAGTGCTATCTAAAAATACTTTATCTAACTCATAATTTAAAGTTTTAAACACATACTTACTTTAGAAAGCCCTGCTTATGTTTCTTGCTCTCATAATTTCCATAGACTATTTGTAGAAGCAAACTTGCCAGTGTAATTAGCTTTGCATCAGGTGATGTATAAAAACCTTTCAGTAAATTATATCTGGCCTCATCAAAAAGTATAAGAATAGCCAATGGATCCTCAATCTGTTAAAAAAAATTGAATAACATGATTTCTTTGTAAAAAAGGAAAATAAGCTTAGAAACTATAAATACAATTTCTCACTGATTCAGAGACAGAAGACAAAGATGTGATCCTGACTGAAGTGTGTATTTTAGTGGTGCTTTGTAATAGAAGCATGCTTTTCACTGACTTACTTCAACACTTCACTGATCTAACACAGAAATCAAAGGCAACAAGCACACCATGCCTGATACAAAAGCTCACAGAAATACTGGCATCTGTGGATTTTTTCCCCCACGAATTCCTTTTGGTAATATGTTTGAAAAACCCCAGTGAAATCGACCAATTAAATAATTGAAAAACAGCACAAGGAATAAAATCAGGCAGGTTGTTTCTAGCCGTATGACAGACAGAGACTGACACATGGACATATTGGATAAACCCCACTGAGAGGCTGAGAAACGGAGAGAGAACAAAGAGATGGTGGGAAGGCAAGAGAGAGGGAGGGAAGAATGTGAAGACTCAAACCATTGCAGAAAAGGAGATGCCATTTTTAAGTAAGTTTGGAAATTACTACAGTCGCTATACACACTGAGTGTTCACTGAGTCTGACCATAATTTCATTCACTTCCAAGTGCTGACCTTTTTTTCTATTTCCAGTGGAAGTCTCACATCCCTTCTCAGGAAAAGCTGTGAAGTTTCCCTTTGAGGATCTAAGTTTGTCAGTTCAGTGAATATTTCAGGCCAGTCTCGAATATGCTGCAAAGGCTTGTGATATGGCTTCAGCTGGAGACCTGAAAAATAACAGGTTTATTTCTAAATAAACAAACAGAATAACCCAGCACATACACACACATATATACATAAATTATTAAATGCTGCACCACAACCAGAGTATCTAAAATTGAGGACTCATTAACAAAATTTTCTTTATATTTTCCGAACTGCTATATAGAAAAGGTTTTGAAAATATGGATTTATTGACAAAATTCTTAGCATCAATTCACTAAATGCAATAGTGTTGAAACGTCATTATTTTCAGTTTCTCAGGAGTGAAGTGCTATTTAAAAATTTAATGGAGTTCCAAGACTGACCTTCACAATAATAAAACATGAGAGACTGTTGTCTCAATTATTATAGCAGAAATACGAAGTCCAATAATTCTATTTCTGAGAGAAAAATAGAGATATAATTTATCTTATAAATGTATTTGCCCTTTTTGTATATATATAAAAACCATAAACTTTTTAGAACAGACATTTTTCTTTTTAATCTGTAAAATGTCTTGACTCTTAACAGGCTAAAGTCAATCAATATTTCATGTTCTCCTGTGTATATGAGAGCTGAGAAATTAATACAGAGCTTTCAGCTACCGTCCTACTACGTACTAGAGTCTGTACCTTTGGTTTACTCACTCACCCTGCCTGTCCTTGGATTATCACTTGGCTTTTTCTAGGAGTGAGGTTCTAGGAGGCTGTATCTGCCTCATCCTCACTGCTCTGGCTTTCACATGGTGGCATTTCACATTATATGAAAAACTTTAAAGGATATGTTCTAGTGCAACATCTTTCAATAGAACAATCTGTTCATTTAACTTATCCATCTTACATTCAAACACAGAAAAGCATCATCTGTCTTACAAGCAAGAAACCTATGGTGCTTACAGTTGTACACAAACTGCAACATACTTTATAATGAAATTTGTCCATTAGTTGTTTGAAGCCATAAATCGGGAGCTCATTTTCAAATCTAGGCTAAATATCTAGAGAATTACTTGCTTTTACACAAACAATGTATCGGTGAGCTCTTCCCCCCAAATGCAAGGGTAATACCTTAATGATTCTATGAAAATATTACATACATATTTAGAAAAGGCAAAAGCAGCAAGACTAACCCTCAAACACTTCATTTTCTTCACATTAACATCTATGTTTAGCTGAGGGTTACAGTAGTCATGTGGCATACAGCAAAGTAAAAAGGCCAATGGTATGACACCAGAAGAAAAAAAATAAAGAAAAATAAAGAAAATATTTCCTGCAAAAATTAGAGCTACTTAAAAAAAAAAAGTTAACAATACCATTGCAGAAGAGCATTGGCAATAGTAAATAATATTTTAAATGCAAGGCTTCTGTGTTAATGACACTGTCAACACCAGACCTGAACTAGCTTTGTAATCCACAACGTGTGCCAGAGCTATTGTGTTGCAGCAGTATTGATGACCACATTATCTGAAAATACCCAACCACAATAGTTGACTCATTTGGGTTTCTATTTATCTTTTGCTATATAACTCAAATAAAAACTGTAATATCTTTTTTATTTAGATCAGAAATGCCAAAAAATACCACAAATATAAGCATGACATTTTACATCAGAATTCTCTTCCCACCAAATATATTTTAAAACTTGTTTATCAAAAATTATTTTGGCGCAAAACACAGGAAAATTCATATGATTAAAGGACCTAAAGAAAAAACATTAATCATCTTATTTTAATTAGTAGTTTTAAAAAGACTAAACAATAGTAAAAACAACTACATGCATCCAAATTCAGATACTCTAGGAAGAAAAATACAGATAAAACCAGAATAAGTTACTAGTAAGACAGCCAAGGTGCCCCATAACAGAAAGGCAACCTGGAACAGTCTCATCTGCCTGGATGAAATACATTATAGGTGCCAGAGTGATACAGTTAGACCTGTTGAGGACACCCAAAGAAAAAGCTAAAGCAGAGAAGCTCTCCACAGCTCTGAAAGCAGTTTGGAGACACCAGGCTGTAAAGCCTGTCAGAGAGCATGTCTCCTACTCTCCTAAGACAGCATTACTTTTTCCAAAAGGCAAGTCAAAACAAGCTATGATAAACCCTCAAGTATAACTATTGTCCTTTTTACTTACTGAGGTTCTCAGAACAGATCCAGATGGTGAAGTACTGCTGAGTTTCTTGAGACAGGCGCATGCCCTCCATTATTTGCTGGACAGTTGTGTTGTTTCCATGTTTCAGCTCCACAGAGCGATACGACCCATCCATACGATAAATCCGTGCCTTTTCATACTACATAAAAATGGGAACATATTAAACAAACAATTTGCTAAAATCCTTTCTGTTGGTGCTTCTAGAGTGGAAAGTAGTTTTACCATGTATCAGCAACATCTACAATGTTGGGAAAAAGAACATTGCACAACTCCTACATATTTACTATTTATCTAAATTGCTTGTTTCATGTCCTGTGCAGGTTCTTATACTGAGCATTTTACAACAGTAACTCCAAGAAAGATCTTGCTGGTATTTTGAGGACTTCTGTTAAACTCAAAGGCAAGTAGGTATTTAAAAGTTCCCTGAGGGATCTGGGCTCAGCTGCCTATGCATATCCCAAAATGTTCACTTTGCTATTACTGGCAGGTTATGAATTTCTCCTCCCTACACTAAAAAGACTTATTTTTAGAGGGAAGCGCCACCCCTTCCTCAGAACCTGCTACAAGAATACAATCTCACTAAATCTTATAGCACTCCTGTAATATAATCTCAATAAATCTAATAAATAATAATTCATTTTCCCCTTCAGAACTCCCATAGCTGTCACTGAATTGCATGTGAGTCCACAGTATGCCTCCTGAAAGACATACATAAACATAAATCAGGTGCTTAATGCATGTATACACAAGCCATAAATCAATGAAATGTCTTGTTTTCATTTCTGCAACAGTTAGATGTTTCAGCTGCTTGAATAAAAACATTTCAGGAATTTGTTATTTCTCTTCCTCAAATCTACTAAGTCATCAAGAACTGAGTTCCTAAAAATATTTGGAAAAAAAAAGATAGATGGCTTGGAAAATGACAACTGATTGAAAATGAGGTTGGAATGGAAAACATCAGTTTATTTTTGCTGCAGTAGTCACAGTAATTCCTGCTCTATTAGATTATAGGGGGAGTTTATTTATATTATATATATACATGACTATTTTATATATATATATATATATATGAGTATTAATTCAATAGTAGTAAGTGACAACATCACACATTACACTCTGAAATCTACTTAAAACATGTCCATTAGTCTATAGAGACATTAGAGACACACACTTTCACATGATCTACTGCATAAGAAGATCCTTAAAATAAAGGTCAGTTCCTTCCTTAATTATTTTGGAAGATCATTCATGCAGAATGAAATGAAGATAATTTAAAACATCTTGAAAAACTGACAGGTTTAGTACCACCTACTTACAGGGATATAGGTTGCATCTGAAGTCAAAGAAAAGAAACCAGTAGGTTTATATAATTTGGCCAATTTTAAATCTACTTCAGGATAAGAGAAATTGCATTGTAAATTTTATTTCTTGTCCTGGATAAATCTCCACTGGCTGCCAAGGAAGCCTACACTGACTAACTGATGACAAGCCTATTTCATGGAAGCCTACATTTAGCCAGCTGAATGCTCCTGTTTATCAACATATAAGGTAAGAATGCATAAAGAAAGCTGATGGTTGTGTGATCAAAATTAGACAGAAAATCAGGAGCTGATGTGATGCTCCTACATATAAATTGGAGCATCGTGTTTACATGTCTTACATGTATTTCTTGAGACATGAAACAGAACAGAAACATTTAAAGAGACAAAATGTCAGTTTGCCAATATTTACACTAACAATTTCAATGTGCTGCACATTTCCAATAACAGCCTGAAGTGACTCTAGCTCTTCTACAAGATTAATTACATATAAACTTTAAACTATTTAGAAAATAAACTCATACAGGTTTATTTATGGCTTCCTTCAGTAGTTTTGCAGCTTCTTCCCACTCATTTTGTTTGTTCTCTTCACAGACATTCAGCGGAGATCTTCCTTGTTGATCAGTAATGTGCTACAAACAAACAGAAACACTGATTCTACATTGATTTCACTGGAGACAGGTAAACATTTACACATTTTTGAGATAGTTAAAATCTTTGATACCAGAGTTCATACATTTAATTGATACGAAATGGGAAAGTAGAGGTAATGAAAAATATTTAACTATTTTTTAGTAAACACTTAACAAGATCATTGTGTTTATACATTGTGATCTGGACACCAAAATATTTCTCACACACAAGCTAGAAACTGTTGCTAAAACTACTATTTCTATACACAAACAGAACTTACTCTGTCAATTTCTGGATGATTTAGTAGAATTTGTACTATTTCGGCATGCCCACCTCCAGCAGCAAAATGAAGAGGAGAGCTAAGCTGACCATTCAAAAGATTTGGATTGCATTTCCCTTTCTCCAATAGCATTCGAGTGGCTTCAACTTTTCCATACCTGCGGACATGTTTAATTCAGAACAGATACAGCAAATATATAATCATTTTTTTTCAGATGGCCCTGATTATGAAAAAGTGGTTTCTTTCACACTGAAGAGTTTTTAGCTTTCAAATTACACCAGATACAATGAAACATAATTAAGTTTGTAGAAATTTATATCAGTTCTACACTTCTTTGGTAACCACTGGTCTAGTAACTATTGATTGGATTCATTATAGACAAACTGAACCTTGCTTTAAGCTAGCTAAGTTAAAGTAGTTGCAGCAATTCAGTCATGGCAGAACAGAGTCCGGTTTTGTCTGGAAAAAAATAATCAGTGTGAGAATCAGAGTTCAGATTCTGATTGTCACGCAGATGGATCCTGACGATTCTTAACTCCCAAGCTTATAACTGGTAACTCTTACATATGCTTGATGTATAAAACATTTACAAACTTTCTGACAAACACTAAAAAGCAAGTAAGATTGTGGGCTTTTTATTACCAAGTTTGATTTTCATGTTATTCCTACCATCAGATGTACTGACCACTACATATACAACAGACTAACTTCCATAAAGATAAAACAAAAGCATTTTTATGACTAAGGAAAGCTTTCAAACACTTACAGATTAAATCACAGTTATAGTCAGACATGCTGACCTCTGTAAAGCACCTAGTCCAGCTTCCCACTCAAAATGTGACCAGCACCAGAGCATGCTCAACTCAGCTACTGCTGTGCTGTAAAACTGCTAACAGGCTTAAGTTAACACAGACTGTGAAAGTTAGCATGCTAAAGTAGACCCAGTGCCTCCAGCAGGAATTAGAATAGATAGTCAGGAGAGATACAAGAGGCAATAAGTAAGTGATGACATGATCTCCACAACTGGTCTCCCCAAAAACCATTCAAATTAAAATTATCTCAAAACCTGAAGCAATGTTTCTTTTCAGAAGGTTAACACTAACATATATTATAATCAAAGCACTAAAAGTGTAGAGGGTTTTTTTTTATTTCTTCCTTCGGAGGCTGATAAATTACATAAATGATAGTCCTAAAGAATCACGATAGCTAGAATGCACTTGACTGGCAAAGCTATCCTTGACTCACCAGCATGCATAATGGATTGGTGCCCAGTGGTCACTATCCAACTGATTAACAGAAAACTTTTTATCCAGAAGGTGGCTTAGTAAATCAGAGTCGCCTTCACAAGCACTGCGGTGAAGAGGGAAATCATCTACCCACTGGTGTTCCCTATGAATTAAAAGGGGAAACAGGAAAAACATGGTTCAGAAATACTATAATTTACAATTTTACAAAATTACAATATTACAATTGTTGAGAACATCAACTTTTTAAAAATTACTAACCTAGCACTAACCATAGATCTACATGAAGAATAAAAGAGAAGTTCATGCAGCTAAAATGTGCCAGTATTCATACAAATATGTTTTTATCATGCAGAAATCAAGCTATAGCTGTATTTATTAGAGTAAGAAATGCTTCTCTAATGTTTATAATTTACCTTTCTTGATTCATCCTTTAACTGTTGTGTTTCAATACTTAGAGATTTCAAATAGAATTTCATTTAAAATATATTTATACAGTAAAGCCTAAAGTAATAGCAATCTCATTCTAAGTCTACCAAGTGCTACTGTAATAAAGCAAAACAAAATTATCCATTAAAGAAAAAGGAATGTAACATAATACTTGTCCTCTGTGACACTGCTCATGCTACGTTGCCACTTTTCTCTTTTAGGAATCTGAATCTTTGAATAGTCCGGGGCTCCAAGGCCAAAGTATGGATTTATTACCACCTTGTCAACCTGTGAAGACATAATTTAAACACAACTGAAAAACTATCTTACTGAGATGTGGCTACACAATCCCCCATTCCAGTCAGGTATTCTCTTGAAACTAAAGTTATGACAGTAACATTTTATAATGAAAGAGACTTATGATCAAATATGAGGATTTGAAAAAGTAGTGCACACTTACTGCTAAATAACTCTGATGTGAGCACACACTCGTATCACATAAATGAAGTCTAAAATTAAAATGTATGTATGTTTCACAAATACAAAATGAAAATATAGTTCTTACCCTATTGGTATATTGAAGGTCAGATCCAAACAAAGGATTATAGATACACATATCTGCTTTCTCCAATGCCAGCATTTTACTCTTTATTTCCAGGGCAGTATAACCCATGTGCAATGAGCTCTCTGTTTGACCAGGTTCTATAGCATAGGCAGGGTTTATTACATTTGTTTTAATTCTCTCAAGAGGAGATGGTCTGAATAAAGCTGGGATGGAATGAGACTGGGTGTGCCGTTCATCCAACCACCTGCAGGAAACAATGGACAAGTAATTAATTTTCAAGTAGACAAGGATCATTTTGATCATGCTGTCCATTATTTTGTTTGATTAAGAATTGCATATATGATAATCACGCGTTTGAATTTAAAAAAATAATTACAATGTGCACAGCCAATTTTATAAGACTAAATTACTCCCTGAATGTGAAATTTGTTAACCACACTCACTAAAACAGTTGTATTTGCTCAATTTTGTGCAGATGCAAATTCTCAGAGAAGGAAATGATACACTAACAGTAACAGTGGTTATAACCACAAAACTTAACCACACCAACATGTCACCATTCCATTTACTTTCAGTTTATTAACATTACTACTCTGAACAAATTTTGAAACTTAAAGCAGCTTTTTTAAGTGTGAGTTTCAATATCTGTACTGACTTAAGCTTTTCAGCTCACGTGTTTCATTAGGGAAAGACAGGAAAAGGCAACAAAACAGAAGGTCCAGTTTCCAAACTGCTAAGTCTCTTGAAGAGCTTTAGAGCTCTCTTATTCTCTGCTACCAGGTGAAGTCAGTACTGTACACCTGCTGCATTTTCCTACCATATATGCAAGATAACTCAGGGCTCAGGACAAGTTGTTCATCTCAAGTTTTGCATAAATATATTTTTACCAAATTGTTAAATTGTTTTAGTGTTATATTAAGTGGTGCATTAGAGGTCTAAAGCCAGGTTTGTATTTAGGTTTCTGCACATGCTTTTCTCACAAGCTTGAGGTTACAATGTGCCTTGCTGGAATACAACACATTCTGTTTAGTGATTGAGCCTGGAAGTAGAATAAAGAGAAGTAAGTACATGCTTTGGACATCCACTGACAGACCACTTGGATCTTGTCTGTCTCAGAATCATATGTAAGGATGGCAGAAGATATCCTGCAGTTCAGTGCATATGCTTAGGCCTATTTTTAAGTCCTAGATCCAAGCTATAATACTGCAAAAGCAGCATTCTCTTCACTTACTCATGGTCCTGGCAGAAAGAACAGTAAAATTGTAGTCATTATGCTATAAACACCCTCTAAGGCATTTTCAGGCATTTTCTCTAAACATTTGGTAGATAAATTAAATATGGCAGTTTGAGAAGTATTGTTTCAGATTATGTACATATTTTCTATTATACCTCCAAGGCTTCTTGTGAGGCTTGAAACACTTCTAAGCAGAACTTAGAGCCTGAAGGCATTCAGCAAGCAGCAAATAAATTTAACTGGTACGATGGCATACACAGAAACACTACAACTCTACTAAGAAACTGTAAAAACCCTACACATAGAAAGAACCTTTTAGGTAGTAACATGTAGCATGATTTTTTATGTTAGCCAAAGGTTTCAGCTAACTTTATTACTGCAAGTAAGTTCATATACAAGTGTGTCTGGCATTTCTTGGTTAATGGTACATTAAAAAAAACAACAACCAAAAAATACCTAAAACAGAAAACAAACAAAAAACCCACCAAAACAACACAAAACCTGTTCATGTATTCAAATTTCAAACTACTATAAATCTGGCCAAACAACTAATCACTTTCTGAATGTTAATTCCCTACGGCAAATAAATTTGTATGTCTGGGGAAGATGCACTCCCTTTCTACAGGGAGATTTAGTTTAAATGCAAATCTTAATAGTACACAATTACAGGATATTTTTACTACACTCTGGCAAATGCTCTTACTCAAATGACAATTATGTCATTTACAGAAGATTAAACATTATTTTACAAAACATTCACTGTGAGCATGAACTTCCAAAAAGCTGCTTCATTTAAATAAACACACCGTTCTTGAGCTTGCAAAAAGACTTTTAGTAATATGTTGTCAAGGTTTCCATTTCTGATAAACATGAAGAAAATACCACGATTTCTTTCTTAACCACAAGAATGCTACAAAAAACTATGTATCACACTGACATATTATCTTTTTAATATGTATTTACAGTTTGATATAAAATATCAAATTTTCATTTTAATGTATTTTTACTGATGGTGTCTCTTACTTATCCAAGGCAATTAACATTTTTGCAGTAAGCGTAGCGAAGTGTGTGCTGGATTCGCTGCAGACTCTCATGATGTCTTGTAAACAGTAGAACACAGGGCATCCAGGACTGTATGTGTATTTTGTATTATCTAAAAAAGAAACATACTCTGAAGACACATCAGTGAGAAGAATCTTATTTTCCCTTCTGTATCTTTTGTAGTTATACATCCCTAATTAAGACTATATTCTACCTTTAGACTAGAGTGACTTAATTTTCTCCAAATATTAATTGACAGCTATTACATACAATCCTTACATAGCAATTCACAACCCAACAGGTCAGCCTTAAAACCCCTAAATATTCTGTCACTATTCCATCAGTGTGATCAGGTTCATTTGAGGAATAAATGTTAAATGCATCCTGTTACCAGAAAACAAAGGAAGATGACTCAGGACTAGGAGGGGTATGTATTGGTACTGGTAACTCCACAATGGTATCTATTTGATAGTTTTTATCAAGTCTTATAAGTAAGGCAAAACCAAAGAAGTTTCCCCAAAAGCACACAGACATTTTACTTTAATATTTTAAAAATACTTTCCTGACAAGTAATTTACTTGGCTTTCTAAAGAATTTATTTACTGTTTAGAGACTTACTAAGCATTCTTCTCTGAGTAGAGAACACTGAACTGAGTAGGATGTCTTAGAGTTGCATTCAGCAAATTCTACACAAGTTAAGGCCTGTGTTTTGAAATATAACCAAATGCACAAATACTGCTTAAACCAGAAGTGTGCTATTGTTACAAAAACAAAGGCAATACATTAAACCAAGGGTTTCTTCCTTGATTTTAAGTAACTTCTTCAAAGTATAAAATATTCAGCGAGTTTTGCACCTGCCTGCAACTTTTAATATTTAAATACAGAAAAATAGATATACAATATTAAAATATATTATATAAATATATAATATATATATAATTATACATATAATCATATATCAATGAGATAAATATACACAACTTAAAATATCTCATATAAAAAAATAAGCCCTCAAGTGAGCTTCTGCTAAAATGGGTGCAGCTTCACAAATCATGTTCAATGTTACCTTTCACAACAGTTGGAACAATGTAAAGAGATGCCTCCTGGCCTGCCTTCTCTCCATCTAGAGGAAACTTCTTCATTAACACCACACGCTTTCCTGCACATTATTTAAAAATAAGAAATAGACAAACCACAAAACAATTAATTAATTATGAAAACAAAGAAAAAAATCTAGAGCTGGCTATCTGATTCAATCTTCCAAGTTTCTAGGAAGAAAAATTTATGATTATGAGCTATAATCTAAAGAAAGTGAAGAAAATCTAAATACATATGAAAACTTAAAGAACATAAATATGTACATACCCATTAACGTGAAAAGATTATATGACTGTAGCCCTTTTCATCTTTTCCAACCCCAGCTGCGTATTTTAGCAGTGTACAAACTAAGCTGGGTATAATTAATGCTTGGGCCACCTGAGTGAGTTGAATTTAAACTCTCCAAACTATGCAACGAACACTTTTTGCTTTTAGAAGGCATTCTTCTATGTGTATTAATTCTGTTATTCTGTGTTTGCTGCATAATGAGCTCTGTTATGTTCACTCAGCTGCATTTATTGCCACCTGCAACATTTTACCACATAAACAACAGAGATGAAGTCCACAGCAAAGACCAGAAGTCCTTTAGTCATTATACTTTATACCAACCTGGCAATGTAATAGGCTGGCTCAAACAAATTTGTCAGCACAAGTGTGAGGTTCTTTGCTATGTAACAGTAACTATGAAACAACAAGGAAAAGAAATATACTCATCAAATTCCATCTGTGAGTGATACAGTTATGCTAGAAATATTTTCATATAGATACTGTCTTCTGAACAACTGACTTTATAATCTATCAGTTCTCTAGCCCAAGTCAAGTTTTAGCTGAAGTTATGGATACAAAAGCAACTTTGATCTGGTTTACTGGAAGTTTAGCTATAAATCTAAACTTGAGGTGAAGAAGCAGCAGAGTCAAAGATTAATTTATTAACAATCTTTTAATAAGCATTTTATAGAGTTGGAAGGTAAAGAGAAACAAAAGTAAATGAAAGGTTTCAGATGTATAGTTGGCTTAGTTTTTTTTTGATGAACCTCAAAATATATATTCTTTTTTTAATATTAATTTCATGCTTTTGCACAACCTTGCCAATTTAAAAAATATTTTCATGGTATTATCAATAGTATATTAAACGGTTTTACCTTTAATACCCTGATTGGCTGGTGAAATTGGTTTGGTGGCTTCTAATACATAATCCAAGATGCTCTGGGTTATCTCAGTGCCTCCTTGAAGTTTAGTCTCCAGCAAGACTTTCTTTCTTTTTTTCTTTTGGCCTTCAATGGGAACTTCAAGCAGCAAAATCTTTCAAACAATAATGAAACCAAAGAAGTTTAAGCACAGCTGAAAGAAGCACAGAACTTTAAAAAATATTATTTTTTTAATGCCACTGTAAAAGTAGTAACAAAATTCAAGAAGTACTAAATGTTGAGGAGCAGAATGGTGAAGTCAGAATGACCTCTGCAGCAGACTAAAGAGTAAAAGACAAGGCCACATTCTTTTCTTTTATATTACTACATATTTACTATACTATTTAAAAAGTCAAACAACTAATAAATAAAGAAAATAAATAGTTTTACTTCATAGGATTTAGCTCGATATTCCCGAGAATTGAGGCTAGCAGTATTTTTTGGACGGATCACAGCAACATATGCATCTCCAAAGTTTTCTGGGTTTCCCATCTCTCCTTCTTACTTTATCACTGGAAATAATGAATAAACAGGAAGAAAAAGTTCAGCTGAAAAAAAAAAATCCATCAGCACACTAAACTTCAGGATGCAGTGCTCATATCCACTGATGCTTTGCATTATTCATTTATTGTTCTTTAGCTGGATAAATGCCAATGGCTGATATAATTCTGCTTCATTTTCATAAAAGGAGAAAATAGGACGTCATATAGATTTGATACAAATAAGCTTATTGTCTAACCCATCTTTAAAATAAAAACAATGTATTTTTTCCACTTTGTAACTATCTTCCCCATTTTGCAAACCAGACAAAAGGCCATAGAAATTCTGAAAAAGACATTAAATTGAAAATGAAAGCCATTTCAAAGTGACAAGCACTGTAATTTTTAAATTGTGCTATAACAAGTACTGCACTTCTATGAGTTCCACATGGATTTCAAGAAAATACCTGGCTTTCATCTCCCCCCCACAAAGTAGAGCACAGTCTTGCCTACAGCCAAGTAACAAAGCTGATAAAAATAAACTTTAATATGGATTCATTTACTTAGTTTTATTTCAGTGGGGATGCAAACTGGTGCACAATTAATTCAAATAGAGCTTCTGAAAGAAATATATCTTTAGCGTATGACAAAAGTGAATAGAAGCATTTAGATTTAAGAAAAAGCTTTGCTTACCCTTCTGTTAAAGCAAGGTGACAATTCCTAAAATCACAAAATTGTACGGAAATTATATGGAAAACCTCCTAAAGCTAAATCACATATCAGCTTCCAGAAAGAAGGTTATGTCTGACCATTTCCACCTTCCAGCTGATCATTTTCTTCATCTGAAAATGAACACTCTTTCATTCCATAGCATCAGTAAGCACATGCTTTTTGCAGATTAATTCCTCCACATATTTTAAATGTTAGTGTTTCTAGCTTCTCCACTTCTTCTAGAAGAAACAGAGGTCTTCAGATTCCTATGCCCTTAGTCCAGTGATTTTCCTGGGATCAAGACTACCTGAAAAGATATTGAAAAAACTTCAACGTAAATAACAGCATGGATATTTTCACCATCAGTTAAGATAAATACATTAGTTAGAGGATTTAATGATGGTATGTGAATAGAATAATATCTGAAGGGTAGCAGCTCTTCTGTAATGATTTGCATTTTAGTAGCATCTGAAAACATTAAATAAGCAACATGCTGACCTATCCCTTATATACAGCTGGGAAAGGCATGCTCCTTGGGTTTCCTTACACGTGTTTGGATACATAGGGTTTGGGTCATAGCCTTGTGTGGAGGGAACCTGCACTGGTACGGCCGGATCACCTGGTGGCAGGACAGGTAAATAAGCAGCAGGGGAACTTCCTCTGCCACTGCTGTGCACTACATCCAGTGCAGAATGAGCATGCCGACAGTGCAATATGACTCCAGAAAACAAAAAGTGAGAATGAAGAAGGGTGGGGTTATAAGGATGTGACAATAAACACAACCAGCTTCAGGAGACACCACCACGAACTGATTCTGACCAAACCTAACAACGCGGCCCCAAAGGCTGCCGGTCTTAGGCACACGCCTCGCCCAGGCCTCTCCCAGCACCGCCGACCCTTCCCGCCTCCGGCAGAACCCGCCGGGACTCCCGGCCGCGCCACCCCCGCCGGGAAAGAGGGAGGCCAGGGCCATCGGGAGCCCCGCAGCGTTGCCTCGCCTCGGCACGGCCGGAGGGCGATGGGCGGGAGGCGGCTCCGCACTCCAGCATCTCCCGCCCCGCACCGCTCGGCCGGGAAACGCCCCCGAACTTCCCCGGCCGCGCCCAGGAGCCGCCGGGCACCGGCCCCCGAGGGGCGCTCCAGCTGAATCCCCGCGGAACGGGACCGGCTCCCCCGCCCTCAGGACCGCCCCGGGGCCGGGGTGAGGGAGCTCGCCCCAGCCCCGCTTCCCCCCTGCCTGACTTGCCTTCCTCGGTGGCGCCTGCCGCTGCCTGCCCGCCGCATCCTCCCGCCGCGCCCGCCGCCCAGGCCCCGCGTCCCGGCCTGCTCCGCCCCGTCCCCGCCCCGCTCCCTCCCCCGGCGCGGTGGATCCGCTTCCCGTCGGAGCCCCGCGGGCCTCGGCTGCCGATGAGTTTCCGGGTCGGCGGCCTGAACTTGTGCTGCCGCCGCCGGTTGTTGACCGCGGGCGGAGAAAGGGGGAGCGAGCCGGGGCTGCGGGCTGGGCCGAGAGCAGGAGGCGCGGCTGGCGGGCGGGGAGGCGCCGAGGCGGAGCGACCGCCCGGGCCCGCGGAGC